ACATATTCCAGGGGTGTAGAGAGCGAACGTGAGCATAACCCCTGGTATCGTGGATGGTGACCGGTAGACTAGATGACTATTGATGACTATGATATCGAGGGTGTACAGAAAAGTACCGGCTACATCACTGGCATCTAATGATAACTCAACTTTAGGTCTACTCTACCTTTTTCTGAGTGTCTGTTACTTCTAGCACTCTGATTGGTCCATCCATCATGACCCTAACTGACAGGTGACCTGAGCCAGGGTGGAGGCGCTGGCTGGACATTTGGGCCAGTATGGGGACTGAACTGGACGTGGAAGATGGACACGGGCCTAGCATTCCTACAGCACCTGGGAAAGAAACAGGGAAATGTGATGCAGAGAACTTTATCATGGATTAAGATGGAGAATAACGGTACTACTACACTAAGATTTAGATTTTAATGTCAAGGGAAGAAGAAAAAGCACCGAGCCTTATATTTTTGGCTATATGTGGACTTCATTGTTTATTTCTAGGTTCATTTATCCTATAACATTATTGTTTCATACTAGAATTTACATTATAGGGAGAATGTCTATGAACATTTTATTTTTATTTATATCAATCAGAACATTACCAAGCAGTACAAATGACAGTAAACAAATATAGTAATTCTGCATCAGTCTGATGCTCCTTCGTATATTTTTCCATTACATTCCTAATACAGATAGAGAACAGACATATTCCTTTAAGAATGTCTTACCGTCTTGTAGATAATCTCCAAGGGCCTGGACACATAGCACACCACTTCCACAGCACAGCTTCCCCTAAACACAATTACACAGAACAATGATATCTCTTAAACAGCTGTAGCAGCTACTCTCTTAAAACAATTGACAAATCTATCTCATCAGATTCTTTTTCCAAATAGACATTAACTAAATTGTACATCAGTTCAAAATTTCAAATTTAAATGTGAAAAAAAATATTGTTAAAGAAAGAAAAATCCTGAGAGGAACGTACATCTTTGAAGCACCATTTCTGTGTGGACAACCTGCGCTCGTCTATCTTTCTCAACGTCAGCGGCACCTTTTTTCCAGGCTGTGGAGCAATGGCTGCTATATCCAAGACCAGACGATTGGAAGAGCTTCCCTGTTTACGAGGATCCCGCGGGGGCATAGAGCCCTCGTGCTCCAACATTCCTTTTGTCGTCATGCGCCATAACTGGGACCTCTTCCCATTCTCCTGTGATCAATTAAATAGAGATATTAATAGGGAAGAATTCAGCTGACTTTTAACCCTTTCACCACTGTG